ATATAGCGGTGAGTGTACACTGCGGCGTGAGCACCGATGCATCCGCAGAAGAAAAAAAAAGAAAAGAAATAAACTGAAAAATAAAAAAGTAAAATTAAATATATTTTATATATTTTAATTTATTGATATTTAATACGCGGTGTAATATGCAGAAAATTTCAGGGATTGAGCGCTGCGGCGGTCTCAGCATGCAGCTGGGCTGTATGTGATGAGGCTGTAGAAATAGGGAAAAAAGAAGAAAATAAAGAGAAATAAATTAAAATAAATTTAAAAAAATTAAAATAAAATAAATAATTAAATAAAATAAATTATTTTATACTTTTTCCACAGAAATATTTCGGTGTATCGAATTGCCGACACCCCGTGTGCATGTAATGCGTAGAAATATATTTCTTCTGCTCTTTATCTACACTTCTTTTGTTTTTATTTCCTTTTTTCGTTTGAAATATTAATTATAATTATAATTAAATCAAATAAAAACAAAAAAGAATTTATTTTCACAAGCCAAGTCAGACCTATACACCATTGCTGATTTTTGTGCACATAAATACATTCTTTAACTTATTTATATTTATATATTTAAATGCTATAAAATGTTCTCTATTCAATAAATAATTTGCAATAGCTAACAGTTTGCGGAGCTCTTTAGGCATATAATTTAAGTTAAGCTGCCTGTTCATTCATATTTCGACATTTTAATTTGCAGGGGCTTCATATAAATATATGTATAGATATATATTTATGCATATATATGTATGTATACCTAGCGATATATATATATATATAGATGCATGTATATATATATAATATACATAGGTGCATATATATTTATATGTATATATATGCATATATATGTATACATATATCTATGTATATATCTATACCTATATATATATATATATATATTTAATGCAGTGTATGCCAGCTGATATATTTGACTTCTTTGTGAGTCCACCTTTGCAAGTGAAGCGCCAAAGAACGATCAACGTCATGATGAAAAGTTATACAAATAGTATATAATGTAAATATATATGTTATTATAAGTATATACATATATATATATATATAATATATATATTATACTGTCTTTGCTTTGTTCGTTAGCCTCAACATGCTACGCTACGAAGACAGTCGACTGGCAGTCGTAGACTCTGTTTAAATAAATTAAAAACAGAAAAGTAATTACTTCTGATTTTATTGTCTTCTTACAGTAAAAGCAGAAGTGATGATAATAATAAAATAGACCTGCGTACAGCAGGATTGTTAATACTAAAAAAAGAATATCATTATGAATAACAAATGCAGAAGTTATCCATCAATTCATTATTATTATTAAATTTGTTTTTTGTTGTTTGTTCTCATTAATATCTTGCTGTTTTCTGCTTATTATTAATATTTTACTAACGTCTTCGTCTGCAGATGTATACGCCAACACCCTGAACAATAGAATCGATACAATTGTTTTAATGAGACAAACTTGTTGTTAGCTTGTGTGCAAGAAGATAGCTTTAAAACGACTGCAGATAGACATCACTAAACCCTAAACCCTAAACACTAAACCCTAAGCTTAAAGCCCTGGATTGAAAAGGCATAGATGGTTGGAAACAGAGGCGAGAAAAACCCAAGAAAAATATGAAGACGTCAAACTATAAAACTGGTCTGCGAATAGGGAGAAGGCTGCATTTTATATGCAGCACTTGTGGAGTGTTTAATTTACAAGAGACAACCAGACACTGAAAAGAAAGAAATGCAGTAGACACCAACACCAAAGACAACGAAAGACAAACGAATTCAGAGTTGTTTAGGCTCATCTCACCCACATAGGAAAGCAAATACAAAGCTCTTTTCTTCACATCTTCAGGATAATTGCAAATAATGTATTAAAGAGATTGCTTTTATGGAACCACAGGACAAATGAAGCAGACTCGTGAAAATTGCAGAAAATCAATAGCAAAGAAATTGACGAAATGAGCAAATAATGGATTAAAACGACTAAATTCACGAAGTATAGAAGTAATGGATAGAAAACTAGGAAAGAAATGTGTTGATTTAATGTGCAAATAATGAATTCAGAAAATTCAACTTTTCAGCTGTCGATACACCCCAACTGCGCGGCGCTCAGCAGCCGTTGGCCTGACCACCGGGCACGATAGGAGGGAAAGCTGCTATAAATGAATAATCAGGAGTTCTTTTTGCTGGGTTTTGGATATTATTTGAATATAAACAAGAAGAAAATCATTTTGAAGAAGATCAGCGGCAAAATCCACAAAAAAGAAGCTGTTCTAGCCAGAAGCACGCTGGGGCGGTTGCGATCTTCATCGCCGATGCTGTAAGCACACAGCCAGTGTACATAAAAAGTATTACTAAATAAATAATATTCGGCAATAGTCATTTGATTTTAATAAAAATACATTTGTTTTCGTTCATTTAATTCCTTCTCAGAGCTACACGAGGCACGGAACCCGCATCTGGCGAGCCCTGTTGTAGAGGCGCCGCCGCTTCGAGTTTCAGAATCGCCTAGTGTGTTTTTGAGAGTTTGTCGTTTTATTTTTTATTCTTTTCTTCTTTTCTTCCCGAAATTACTCTTAGTTACTTCATTTCCATATCAGGTGTATCTTGAGGTTTTATTTTTTCTTCGCTTCCCTCTTTTTTTCCTCCGACTCCGTCGGTCTGGGCTGAGGCGTGTGTGTTTCTCCGCGCTTCCTCCCTTTCATTGGTGTAGTATTTTTCAGTTCTTTATTCTTTGCATGCAACACAATGGGGTTGTGCACAAAAAACAAAGCTCGCTCCCCCTCTCGCCGCGAGAAGCCAGTAGAGATCGAGCCTGCTGCTGGAGCAGCGGCAGCAGCAGCACCCCCAGCAGCAGCAGCAGCAGAAGAAGAAGAAGCAGCAGAAGCAGTAGCAAAGGAGCCTATTCTTGAAGAGGAGCTGCATGCAGCCCCGCAGCGTCAAGGAGACGAGCAGACAGTTGAGTGCGAAGAGACGACTGTCCTTGTTGTCGAAGGTCCAGCCCCAGCAACTGCAGCAGCAGCTGCCGCTGCCGCCGCAGCAGTAACAGCAATTGCAGCAGAAGCAGCAGCAGCAGATGCAGTTGTTGAGAAGCCCCCATCAAGAAGAGAGGTTGAGGCAAGTATCCACGGGAACCCCCCTCCTCTTCGTAATGACTCTGCAGCTACTTCATGCGCAGGGCTTACAGATGCAGACGGCCTAAGCAGACCCGGCACTCTGCAGCTAGACGGAGAGAAAGAAAAAGAAAAAGCTGCAGGGGAGGGAGAGAGAGAAACAGAGACAGAGCAGCAGCAGCAGCAGCAGCAGCAGCAGCAGCAGAGCGCAGCAAACAATGGAGAAGCAGACGTCAATGAAGAGGCCTCAACTCCTGCCCGAGAAGCAGCAGCAGAGGCAGCAAAAAGAGAAGAAGAAGACGAAGGTGCTGCTGCTACTTCTTCTGCTGCAGGTGCTGCTGTTGAGTTTACAATGACAGTGCAGCGTACGTTTTCCTCGCTTAAAGAGTCTCTCAGCCGCAGCTACATGAGCCTGCGGTCTTTTACCGAGAGCAGAGAGGAGGCCCCCTCAAACAACAACAACAACGACAGCAGCAACAGCAGCAGCAACAGCAGCAGCAACGGCAACAGCAGCAGCAGCAGCAGCAGCGGTGGAGGGGTGCTTCCTGCTGCAGAGCAATGCGTATGCGGCGTGCTGAATGACTTAACTGAACTTGGAGAGAAAGCACTGCCATGCGTATTAGGAGAAAACTCTGACAGCGAAACAGAGATCCCCGCTGGTGCTGTTCCGTTGCCTCCGCCGCAGATTACGATGATTGTGAATACACCCGCAGGGGCTTATCTTCGCGTAATTCCTCAGGAATTGGTTCAAGACGCCATTGATATGGGTTTTATTTCACAAGAAGAAGTAAATAAACAAAAACAATTGTGGGAAGATAAATGGGGAGGTCTGCGCATTCAATATTCTCCTGCAACATCATTCGCTCATCAAGATGTTAAGGTGTGAAAGCGAGAAAATAAAAAGAAATTCAAAGAAAAATAAATATTTACATCAAATATATATCATTATATTACTCTATTTCACACCTTTTCCTTCAAAGTTGTACTTCATTTCCTACATTTTTTGTGTCTTTCTTCCATCTTCTCTTGGCGATCGCTGCAAATTTTTCAGGTGTACAGACACCTCAGCGAAACGCCGGCGCCGATGAACGCCCAGCGTTATTTCATTATTCATATTTTACTCCCCATTCATCAAACCATAAAACATTTGTGCTTATGTATGCAAATAGGTATATATATATATATATATATAGAGAGAGAGAGAGAGAGAGAGAGATAGAGAAGCCAAAGATATATACAAATAAAGAAATGAACAAACCAGAGAAACAAAAGAAATCGAGAGATAGACAGCTAGAGAGACAGAAAAGAAAGGTATACTCAAATAGAGTAATGAAAAAACAAGAAAAAGAAGAGCCATTTAGAGAAGAAAAACAAATAAACAAAGAAAGAACGATATACATTTCTACATTACAGTACACCCGATAACCGCCCTGAAGCCTAAGCCCCATATAAAGGAGCAGCAACAATAACCCCTAAACCCTCTAAATATAAACCCTAAACTCTCTAAACCCTAAACTCTCTAAACCCTAAACTATCTAAACCCTAAACTATCTAAACCCTAAACCCTAAACCCTTCCTCTCCACCGTAACCCCTCTAACCGCCTAAACCCTCTAAATGATGTCAAGTCTCTGTATAAACCGCACAAATTAAATAAACCCTTCAAAATGTCTAAACCCTCTAAACCCTCAGAAACCCTCTAAACCCTTTAAATTCTATAAACCCTCTAAACCCTTAGCCGCCTAAACCCTCTAAGCTATTAAATTACTTAAACCCTCTCTAAACCCTCTCTAAACCCTCAACTTCCTCTAAATGATATTCAATCCTCTAAACTTTCTGATAAACGCCACGATATCTTTTTTTTGTGGATGAAAAAGACAAGAAAACGAATTAATCCCTGAAATAAATAAATTAAATAAATTAAATAAATAAATTAAATAAATAAATAAATAAATAATTAATTAATTAATTAATTAATTATTTATTTTGCAATGCCGCTAAGCCGCAGCCATCGCTGCATTTTTCCCTCTTCGAGAAATTCCGACGGCGCTGCCGTCGAGCCGAATGCCCAAAAACGCGAAGAAAGAAATGAAGGGGTCATCAGCAAACGCACTAAAGAAGACATACCTACTAAAGGCTTCACCCTATTCACAGCAGCAGCAGCAGCAACAACAGCAGCAGCAGCAGCACCAACAGTAGCAGCAGCAGCGGTAGCAGCAGCAGCAGCGGAGAAATATCAATAATTTGATGCACCAGTGAAGCAAACTATATATACTGCGACTGCTGTTAGGCTTGTTGCTGCTGCTGCTATCCCTTTTATTACTATTTCTATATTCCCTGTTGCTGCTGTTGCTGTTGCTGCTGCTGTTGCTGTTGCTGCTGCTGCTGCTGCTGGTGTACGTGCAGCTCAAAGGGATAATAAAGGATTAATTTAGGTTGAATATTTTCTCACCTATCATAAATAAGTGCTTTTAATTTATCTGTAAACGACGAAAACCCCCAGTCGCAGAAATACAAACGCCATTGCTGCATCCTGATAATAAAAAGGACAGCAACATCATATATATAAACAGCAGCAGCAGCAGCAGCAGCTACAGCAGCAGCAACAATAGCAGAAGCAGCACCAACAATAGCAGAAGAAGCAGCAACAATAGCAGAAGCAGCTCCAAACAGCAGCAAGAGCAGCAGAAGCAGCAGCTGCACAAACAACAGCAGAAACAGAAGTAGCAACACAAACAACAGCAGAAACAGTAGCAGCAGCACAAACAACAGCAGAAACAGAAGCAGCAGCACGAACAGGAGCAGCAACAGGAGCAGCAGCAGCAACAGGAGCAGCAGCAGCAGCAGCACCAGCAGCACGCACTTGGGGTTGTTAGCTGCTGCTTCTAAGTATTTGATGTCTCCGGTGATTAGGTGAGGGATGCCGGCGCCTTTGAAGAAGTCGCAGTGCAGCCTCCACAGCCTCAGCATCCCTCTCAACATACACTCAGGCTGTAGCCTTTCTTCTGCTATATTCTCTTCCTCAGCTGCAGCAGCTGCAGCAGCAGCAGCAGCAGCAGCAGCAGGAGCAGCAGGAGAAGCAGCAGCAGAAGCAGCAGGAACAGCAGTGGGAGAAGCAGCAGTGGGGGAAATGGCGGGAGAAGCAGAAGCAGCATTTGCTGCTGCTGTTGCTGCTGTTGTTGCTGCTGTTGTTGCTGCTGCTGCTGCTGCATCAGGATGTGTGAGGCGAGGAGATTCAGCAGCAGAAGCAGGTGCAGCAGCAGCATTCTCTTCTTCTTCTGCTTCTGCTGCTGCTTCTGCTGCTGAATTAGAAGAATAATAATAGTACGGGCGAGGCTTCTGATAATCGCTGTCTTCACCGCTTAGTACTCCATCTGCTGCACATAAATATATTTTTTTTAATGCAGCAGCAGACAGTCTAAAAGATAAAAGCAAAGAACGAAGATGTCGCGCAGACTCCAGCGAAGAAAATATATACACAGGGCGACGCCACACCTGAATTAAAAAAACAATAAACAAATTAACAAATAAATAAATAAATAAATAAATAAATTAATTAATTAATTAATTAATTAATTTATTTATTTATTAGATACAACAATATGTACAAGTAAAGAAAAAACAGAAGAAGACGAACGACAAAAACATATTAGGGGTGTAGGGTTTAGAATAATATACATATAATATATATAATATATATATTATATATATTATAAATATAATATATATATAATATATATTATATTTACCTAAACAAAATAAAATAAACAAAATAAACAAAGCAAGATAAAGAGTAAGAATAAAAAATAATAATGTAAGTAATAATGAGAATATAAATAAGAATAAGAATTAAAACAAAAATATAAATAAAAAATAAAAATAGGCGTGAGAGTTCTTGAAGACAATCAAAAAAACAAAACAAATAATAATATAAATAAGAATAAGAATATAAAAGAATAGCAATAAGAAGACGCATAATAATGACAATAATTAAAACAATAAGAATAACAATAACAATAAGAGTAATAATAATAATAATAAGAGCAGAAAGAAAGCAAACAAGTAGACAAACATTAAACATAAACAAGAAGGATAAACAAATAGAATAAATAAATAAATAAATAAATAAATAAATAACAAATACATAAGTAATAAATAAACAAATAATAAATAAACAAATAATAAATAATTAAATAATAAATAAATAATAAATAAATAAATAATATATATTTGTTTAGTTTGCTTACAGTGGTGATAAACTCTAAACATTTTACGGCTGCAGAATTAAATCCTTCGAACAAATGCAAATAATTTTCGTCCTTGTCTAAATCTTCATTATTATTATTATTATTAATATTATTATTATTAATATTATTATTA